GCTTGGAAACAGAGCTTTAAATTTGTTTCGGTATTTGCATAATGCATATTTGACAGTTTGTGTTTCTTGCCCAAAGGTGTAACATAAATCGGTGTTGTTTGATGTTGCACTCTTTGCATACAGTTTGAACTTGATGTTGTGTATGTATGTTAAAGCAAAGGGGAGTGGAGATTGGGATTTATGTTGAACTTGAATATGGCTGCAAAATGATGTGAATATTGGTCGACTGCAGTAAAGTCTATGTGGTTTAAAACTCATGAAATGTTCACATTCCTTTCCAAAGAAGGGGATGTATAAATTGTTAGAAGTTTTAATCACTGTATAGCCACGTTTGTTATCGCTGCAATGTTTCAACTTACTTTTGAATAGTGGGACTTAAGCTCCTCTTAGTCCTAGTTTGGATTCAACTGCCCTGTTTGAGTCTGTCTATGACTCTCTCCGTGGAGTGTGGTGTCGTGGGGATGGAGACCATGGTGAGGATATTGGTCTAGAAGATTACTGGGTTGCCTCTGATATTCCGAATGGTACCAGCTTGGTGGACTAATGTACACAACTTCAATGGTTTTCTGGCTAATACTCTTCTTGGTTGTGATTATAATTGTTTGCGATTATAATTTTTCACATAATGCTTTTCTTTGTAAGTCTTGTACATGAATGATCCCAACGGAAAACAACTAAGGCTGCAACATCTGGAACAAATAATCATGTTATTTAACCATTGGACAAATGTTTATTAAATCTTCACCAAAGTGAGATTTTATGGAAATTTTGGTCTGGGTGCTGTTCTATGTTTGCCAACATATAGGATGGTGGAAGAGGTGATACTGCATGCTTGTGCCGAAACCATTCATGAAGTAAGTAATGCCTTTATCTGATTATTTGGATGTGGCTTTGTTTATTAGCTTTAGTTGATGTTGTTTGGGATTTCATGGGTCACATACTAAAATTATGCAAGTGTTATATACATTTATGTATGCATGTGTGTAAATATACATGATAATAATTATACGTATCCATTTTGCTTATGTGAAAGATATGATATGTTTTTATATGACTGTTGAATACAATGGTACCGTATTAACCAAGTTCCCAGAAAAAGTCATTGTTTCCTTGCTCTGCGAAAGTCGTTTCATTTGGTTTGTTTGATAGTAATTTACCAATTCTGGACTTCCTTAACAGTGATATAGTGTAAAAGGAGTGCGGGCAGGAAACAGTTCATGAGTTAGAGCGATAAATCTCTAAATATACATTTGACTTCATCTGGTCTGCATTCAAATCTGAAATTTTGTCTAATATTTTTTGTTTTGGAATGAACTGTCTATGCAAGTGCTCCAGAGTGTTTCCAGCAATTCGCATTGCTTTATTGGATTTGTTTTCACACAGGTTGATCCTATAACTATGAATACTAGTGATGAAAGTAGATAATCAATGATTGCTTGCCCAAGTGGGAGAATTAGTGAAAGAAAATTGGGTTTCACACTCATTAATTTATTTACAATAAGTGTATAAATTCTAGAAAACTTAATGGGAGTTGTTCTTGGTTATTCTAATCATACTGTTTAAAAAGTTTTGGGCATTAGGTTATTAAAGCGTTATTCTATCTTAATCTCTTGTGTGATGGCTGTACATTAAAGAGTTAAGGCAGTTTATGTCTCTTGCTCAAAAGTGTGACATAAACATGCATGACTATATGCACTTGTTTTTACGGCCGCTTGAGTTTTGAGGTAATTTTGAGTTAAAGATTGTTTAAATGGTTTTGACTAAATAATCACTTTGTGATGGATGACTTCTTTACCTAATGTTTCTTGACTTCTTTGGATGGTTGCAATTATAACAATAAAGTCTTTTATGATAATATTTTCTACACAAACATTTACTTCTTCACGAGAACTTCTTAGCAAGATTTTATAGTGCATACTTGTGTAAAAGATTTTAGGTACTAGATTATGTAAATTATGGTTTTAAAACTCATAACATGTCAATATTCTTTTCCAAAGAGAGGAATGTATGAATGGTTTGAGATGTTTTCAGGATATAACATTTTGAAGAAAATTAAGTTGATCGTTTTCTTGTCCAAAGACTTGAAATCTTGGTTGTTTTCTTAATCCTTTACATGGTTGTTATACAATAAGGTTACATGTCAAATAGTGGAAATGTGGGAGTGAGATCGACATTCTGACATGCATAAGTATTTGTGTTCTTGTTGTTCTTGTTGAATCATGTTTCTTATTCTGTCAACTAAATGCAATGAATGTATTGTACGCATTAATCAATTTCAATGCTTGATAATGTTGCGATACTTCATCATTATTATATCTTTGATTCATAAAGATGATTGATAGTAGATTGAAATCTGTTGTTCGAAGTGTCTGTCCAAAGACGATACATGAAGAAACCTGGGTTTTGTATGATTAAATAAAGGCACGATAAATCCATTTATGGTATAAGGAAGCATCATACAGTTTGGGTTTAAATACTTGTGGTTCTGGAGTGCATGACAACTTGGGTTCCGTTGAAGTGTGGGAGTAACAACTTGATATGTGTTTTACTATTGCTCGGTCTACTTGCTTTAAGTTTGTCATTGCTGAATGTATGAGGTTTTAGTTTATGACTTGCAGTAAAATGTATGATCTTTGTTCCAAAGAACATTTTATTGAGTTTTGTTATGCAGGAAAAAGGAAAAGAATCCAATGATTGAAGATGGCAAACCACTTTCAATCAATAAAGGTAAACTGGATAAATGGGAACGAAATGGGGTATGCATCAAGAACCGTGTTTAGAATGTGTATAAATGTATGTCATCATTAGCATTATACGGTATGAATTTGTGGATTGTGGTTTCAGGGTGAATGCAACATTATTGTATGCATTATTTCCTGAGATTCAAACTCCAAATGATTACTGGTCAATGTGTATAAGATGCTAGTTGCGTAGAACTCAAGTCATCACTAAGGAATGAAGTTATGTAGTACATGAAATTTCAAAACCACAACTAGTTAGCGTCCATGTGGGAGAATGTAAGAATCCTATGTGGACTTAACTACTTGTGATAAAGGTGGAATTACATGTGGATAATACAACTTCAATAAGAGTTCGTTACGTGGAAAACTAACGTCTTATAATTTAGGAAACACATTCGAAATGTTTGGGATGCAACTGCCTTCCACTAACCCTTTTTCCATTGAACTTGATACAACGGGACAATAACCAACTCACCCACGATAGATGGGAGTTGGCAGCCGTTGTTTCTATACATGTAGGAGTTCCCTGCTCACCAAGAAGACATTCTTCGACATAGGGTTCTGTCACCATAAGGATATAAAGGTCTTGAGTGAGTAGAAGGATTCTTTGTGCAACTAACCATCTCTTCTTCAGAGCTCTTGTGTACAATTAACAACCACCATGGCTACACCAGGTAAGTTTTCTCATTATATTTGATTGTGACCTAGCAAAGCATGCTAATACGAACTTGGGTTGTTCTTACAGTTGTTCCAATAAGACAAGTTCTCGATGCACTCGCAGATCATTTGTGGACCACCTTCATCATGTCTGGCAATCGCGTTCAAAGTCTTGACGGAGTCACAGCACTGCTTCAGCGGTTCAGAAGACAATCCCCGGACAAATGACATACAAAAGCTGAACTCGTGAAACACAGTGGCACACAGTTCGGGACCGTCTGAGCCATGGCTGCTAATAATACTGCACAAAGCAAGATAATTACACTGGCAAACCCAATATAGCGAGGTGAATAAGCCATATCGATTGCTAATCCAACCACTAAATCTAAATGGTACTATTGCTAATCCATATCGATTCTAACTCCTTTTAGTAATACGACTTGCAGGTCTTTTCTTCTCGCCAGACACAGTCTCGGGGTACTCTGCGTTTTCGTCTTCGTCATCCCAACTCCTTGCATTCCTCATCTTTTTGCTGGTCGAAGTAGAAGCAGCAGCCCATGCTTGCTGCTGCAGAGCTTTGTCTAAAGCCCTCTTTTCTTTTCTTTTCTTTTTTTCGACTCTCTCTTTTGCCTTTGCTTCCTTCTTCTGTTTCTTTATCAAATCTTGCTCTTCAATTCCGGAACCAGAAGACAACCCTGGCAGTGGAGACGCGATTCCGCGGGGATGAAGAAAGAGATCAAACCCAGTATCAAACTGTCCAACTATGCCAAAAACCCTCTGCTTTTTCCTAGAAAGTGATGGAAATTTCCAAATTATATGAATCGGCGCAGGCCTTTGTAGTTGCATAGAGGCGCAGGTCTTTGTCGTCGCCGACAAACGCCGGCAAGCGGCCGTTGGTTGGGTGGAGATGTTTTGCTGGGCCTTGTTTCTTTTTCTCTTCTCTTACCTTTTGGAAGAAATTTAAAATTATTAAAAAATTTTAAAATGATGAGATTTTATTTTTTACAATTTGTCAATTTTTATGTTTGGGAATTATTCTTTTAGGTTAACCAAATAAGAAAATTTATAAATTCTAGAAAATAAAATCCCTACATTTTAATTTCTGTCATTTTAAAATTCCTTAGTAATATTAAATTTCTTCATCCAAACATAATGTAAAAGAACAATAGAATTGAATATAGAATTTGTCATAGAAATTGAGTAATGACACATATTTAAATGAAATTTAAACTTGGGAATTAAAGGTCCTAAATTTCAAGGTTTTTTTTTCCATGCGAAAATTCTAAGTTTCTATGTTTATGAATTCAAACGATAGAACTAGTGCATATCAATTTATAAATTCTGACTTTTATCCAAATTCCAAGTTTATTTCCTTCGTCCAAACATAGTGTTAGTTTTCAGTTTTTAAAGACATTAAATACATAAAACCTAAATTTGTTTCGACAAGGAAACCTAAATTTTACAATGATAAGGAAATGTTACTTGCCAATATTATCAATTAAAAACAAAACAATATTGAGCTTCAAATCTTTCTTTTTTTCTGGTGTATTTTTCATTTTTCCCGCTAATGTGTTACTTGCCAATATAATAAAAATACAAAACTGTTGTAAATATCATGCTTATTATTAGAAATCAGCTAAGAATTTTATTGAATAGAGTACTAAACAGCGGCGAATGATTTCACTCACCTCAAATTGAAATTCGTTTTATTCTAACAATAATCTCTACTTTCGCCCCACACTTCATGGGGAGACCTACATTGCCGGAACATGAAGGAAAACAAAAACTTTGATTAGTTTTCTCCGTAGATCCACTTCTCTTGGTTGCTGGTGTAACTAACCAACTCATTTGGTTTAAACCACAAGTTGATTTCGTCCTTGGCAGTCTCCGGACCATCGCTGCCGTGGATGATGTTTCTGCATGGCATTGTGGGTTCCAAGTTAGAATCGGAGTGAACAACACAGAGATTGAAAACTAAATTGAAGATAAAAGGTAAGTGCTAATGCGATAAAGTTATCAAGAAGAAGCTATTACCTTCCGACAACAACGGCTAGATCGCCTCTGATAGTTCCGGGTTCTGATTTTTGGGGGTCTGTAGCTCCAATAAGTTTTCTACCGTACTTGATCACACCCTCTCCTTCCCAGACCTGCAAGAGTTAGGAATAAGAGACTGGCCAGGTGAAAGGATATTCTCACATTCAAGCGTATTATAGTCAGTCCTACTAACCATTGCAATAACAGGGCCGGAACTAAGGAAGTCGCAGAGGCCGCTAAAGAATGGCCTCTCCTTCAGATCATGATAATGCTTCTGCGCAAAATCCTTTGTAGGAACAACCACTTTAATGCCTACAAGTTTAAAACCTTTCCGCTCAAATCGAGATATGATTTCTGCAATCTGGAAAGAAAAAAAAAAAAGGCTTAGCACAAAAAAGGTATAAAACATGTCATGGTAGCCATAGCACATGCTTCAGCGAACAATCTTAGGTCAAACAGTTAACTTACCAGTCCTCTTTGAACTCCGTCTGGCTTGATAGCAATGAATGTGCGTTCCAACTGATTGAATGAACAATTTGTAAATAACTAGAATAAAATAAGTACTAACAGTGAGAAAAAATGGCACAGAAAGTATCCAAAGTACCTCTGCAGCATGAACCTCCTGGTCGACGAGCATGTAAGCTAGAGAGATCAGAGCAAAGAAAACAAAGGATGTGTTAGGATTTAGTTTGTAGAGACCGAAATTAAAGAATCATCCTGGCCATGCTATTACAAAGATGTTCGTCTAGTAACTTTAAGACCAGAAAATGTACCAGAAGGTTTTCCAGTGCAGATGTGCATGTGCACGTGAGAGACGAAAAGACAGGAAGGAGAAGTAGAGAGAGAAGAACGCATAAACATAAATGGAACTACACAAAATTTGATGATTGCAGAGTTTTGACAGTAGGTAACATATCTTTGGGGGTTCATGCATAATGTCAGGTTGGAAGGAATTAAGGAAGAAAGTCAAGTCAAGAACACATCCCAAGCTAAACAATTCCAACCCATTACTGTGCTTAAGCACAGTTTAATTGTTGTTGAAGAGGATCCGGAAGCCACATTTCTAAAACTTGGGCAAGGGGCAAGGCCCTTCTTCATTCGGACCCAAACTTATCGACATCACATTTTTAAGATGAAGTACTGTACTTCTACTTATACATCATGTCCTTCTAAATGTTTATATAGCAACGCAAACAGAGGTCACACTTTTGAAACAAAATCTAAGAATATAAAAAACACGATTAATTGTATTAGGAGATCAGATATGAATGAAATAGAGTTTTATTCCGCTATACCTGCTGCAGGAACGGCAAGGGCTCCGGAAATCCATCCTTTAGATGCATTGTCAGAACCAGCTCTTCCAAAACTTGAAGCAAAGAAAGGAGCCTTCGAACCCAATGCTACTGCTGCTGCGGTAGCTACAGTTCGCCCTGCTGCAATGTGGACGACATGGTACACGATTAAAAAAAAAAAAAAAAAGAAACTTGCATTCCGATTTACACAAACACAAGCATCATCCTAATTTTTACAATAAACAAGTGAAACAATCACTGATTTTTTTATGTCGGAAAGGCCTAACGTAACGCATACAAAGCCACGACCTTTATATGTACAACAGTTGATAGGAATAATCACTGATTTCAGATGCATTCCTACTTATCAATCATGGAATTAAAAAATCAAACAATCAAACAATCAGTACATCAACTGTCGGTAGGTGAGTCCCACAAGATCGAGGTCCCACTACGTGGATCATCCATGCCAAATCCAGAGACGACAGATCAAATCAAAGAAGCAAGCAAAACCCAACAATTATTTCCCATAACAAAAAGAGAAAGACAATGATTCATGTAAGAAATATTTCATTTTTTACTGTTTTTGACGATAAATTAATTCATGGAAAGGTAAACAAAGTTGAACCATCCAAACAATCCAATAACTAGAAAGAATCCAGTCATTTCTTGGTCAAGCTCGAATTCTTATTCATTTTCCATGAAAACAAACAGATGGCGATTCATGACGTAGATCGTCGATCGAGATCCGAATTTGTGAGAATCAAACATTTGATTGAAATCAATATAGTAGAAAGCTGAAACGAAATGAACACGGAGAAGTCAACTCTGAAAACAATAGGTGAAAACAGAAGGGAGATGAAACGTTACCGGAGTAGGAGCGGGAGGAGGCCTTGGGAGCAGAGAGGAAGGACCTCGTAGCTCTGGAAGCGGACCTGCAAATCCGAGACGTCATTTTCTCAGTTCAGTTCAGATGAGAGAGAGAATCAGAGGGAGAGAGGTGAGAGTGGGTGGGTGGGTGAGGGAGTGAGAGAGCTTTTAGCTTGTGGTTAAGTCAAAAAACCTATCCGAAGCATGAGGAACGAATGCCAGTGCGGACGCGAATCTGATACGATGCGTAAAGGGCACTAACGGTTTACAACTGGAAGGAATTGGCCCATTTAGGTGGATGTGGGCTTCTCTAATATGTTTTATGTTGTATGTGTTTACTGTCACGTATCGTTTTTCTTCAATAATATATTGTTATGTGAAAAAAAAATTTGCACATGATCATGTATTATTAGACAAAGAATGTCACATAATGGGTGAACCTATTCCATAGTATGAGGAACGAATGTCAATGCGGATGCAAATACGATACGATGCGTAAAAGCCGTCGACCGGTTTACAATTGGAAGCAATTGGCCCATTTAGGTGACAGTGGGCTTCTATACTGTGTGAGAGCAACTTACATAGAACGAGCTCACTGTTATATGACATCTCGATTTAATAATTCATTATCACGTGAAGAACAAATTGCACACAATCATATATTATTGGATAAAAAACGCTACATATCGAATTAATCTGTTCCATATAAGTTATTATTCTTATATCTGGTGCGAGTAAGGTAAGGTGCAACATCATATCAAAAGTAAATATTTGCTAATAATTGATGTTTTTAAGGCATTCAATATGTAACGTTGTTATCAATGAAACGACGTGACTCAAATGATTTAATTCATGTTCTTTTATATTTGAGGTTCTAGATATGATATATATATTTTTTTTTACTACTATCTATGAGACTATCACTTGCATAAAAAAACACATGATACTTCTTCAGTTAGTTTTATATTGATTTTACAATTTCATGTAATGGTTTTTTTACCAATAAGTTTATTAGCAGCCCATATAACCAAATACAAGTAAATAATCGTAATTCAAGTTGAAATTTTGATAAGAGAAGTATTCAGTGCACTAGTTGTCCTAGATCAATGTTATAAAAGGTGAAGGTGTAGGTGAGGCGCTTCATGAATATCTTCACTTAAACGAAAGTCTTGAGACGTGAGACTTCGTCACAAGAAATAAAGTTTTGCTAATTCAAATGCTAGGTGGCGAACGTAAACAGGCAACAATTAAAAAAAAGGCAACAATTAAAAAAAAAAGAAAAAAAGAGTTAGAGTTAGACTTAGACTTTGTCATGTAGGGTTTGGAGAGAGAAAACTTTCTTCTTCATTGAAATTAGAATGGCATTGTCTCATGCATTTCAAAAACAGGCATCTCAAAAGAAAAAAAAAACCCCAAGTTGAACGCTTGGGTGCGCCCCAACGCCACCTCCCACAAAACAGAGGTGAAAATCCAACCACCTTGCCTCCAAGGCCGCCTAGGCGTGCCTCGAGACGAATTTTTTTATAGGAAAAATTAGGTTCTCATCCCTTATTTTCATATTACATTGATTGAAAACTTATTATTTTTTTTATTTTAGATCAAGGTCCTTTGACTTATTCCATGTCATCATTTTAGTATTTAAAATATTACACGTCATCATAAATGAAATCTTATTCCTTTGTGCATTTATGGCAAACTAAACTATATGAGTAAGTTTAAAACAAGGAAATCCATTTGAAATCCATTACAACACCCCAAGCCCAATTTTATCCATTTTTTCTCCATTCCTGAATTGATCCAATGCATATATGTTGAATAAACCTATTGTGATTAAAACACAAATTAGCATCAATGGTTTTATCGGCTTGTGAGATTTGTGTGGCATAGGCAAGGCAATGCAGGCATCGCTTTCTCAAGGAATCTGGTTGATTCAAACATGCAGAGACTGTACAGTGAGCGGGTTATGTGAAAACTGTACCCCATTCCAAAATCATCTTCTTTTGTTCTTTATATTTTTTTTCCTTTCCTTTTATTATTATATATTAATCTTGATTATTCAATGGCTGGTTGGCTACACTTATACCCATGGTTACATTTTTAATCTACATGTTTCGTTCTAATATATCTATTGCTGTAATATGTTTTGGTTGGTTCAAATTCATTTTACATAAATATATGGGTACAAAGTTTTTGGAGAATATTATGTAAAATGGTTTTTAAGGTTGCTGCATTTTATGTACCCACATATGCATGTCTATAAAACAATTTGGTATGACGTACATTCTTTTCCTTGAGTTTTTAAATGTACCCATGACTTTTCTTGTAAATTCGGTAGTACCCATATGTTACTTATGTTATGGGTACATACATTATTTTTGGTCTAGTTTCGTGGGTACATTGCTTTTGTATGTATGAATTCATGGGGTACATTATTTCCCTTAATACTACTCAATAAAATTACGAAAATATGTGTAGTGTGCATGAATTTTTATTGTAGAAATTGTTTTTTTTTTTTTAAGTCTCATAATTTGTGAGATTTGTGCATATATGATCCCATAAATTTTTGAATTTTTAAAATTTTAAATTTCTTTTAGACTTGATCGATTGATTGAATCTCATAATATTAGGATTTTGAATTACATAAATTCTTGGATTTAAGTCCCTTAAATGTTGGGCTGCAATTAATATTTTAAAGGATAAATATCAGTTTACTATCCTCAAGTTTCATGATTTTCAACATTTAGTATATGAAGTTGTTTTCGTCTTAGAGTCATACCTAAAGTGTTAATTTTGGGACAGTTTCATAAATTTGTTAGTCAAATTGTTAATTCTTTCGTTACGTGATAACGTGACGTCCATGTGAACAATGACTGGACGTCACGTGTTGTTAAAAATATCTAAATAATTAATTAAATAAAGGAGTGTAGCGGCAGATCGGCAACTGCAGGTTCTACAAAATTTAAAAAAACTGAACCAAAACTATGTCATTTGAGTCAAACCATTTAAAACAATATAATTAAAAGTTAGTTTTTTATTGAACCACGTCTTTTTTAATTAAAAATAAATAAATAAATAAAGTATATTCTCTTTCCTTCTACTCGAGATGGAGCCCAGTCCGAATCGATGCTCAGAAGCTTGAATGATTAAATGCGGATGTCACCCCACGGTCATCCCCCAACAACATCGTATGTACCGACGTTGGCATGGGAAATTTCCATGGGCCACACTCCCGAAATCAACGGCGGAGAAAGACGTTGAAAGAGATAGAGCTGGGTCAAAAACCCTACCCATTCTTTCACTTCTGCTTGTTCTATAAAAATCCATCACAGCCGCTGAATTTCAGGTATCAAAATGAAAGGCTCAGATTCGATCAAACCGGGTCATGCCCACGACCCAGATGCCAGTTTGGGTCAATTTGGGCCCAACAACACCCGAATGTAGGCCTAGCCCAAACGTCCTCCTTAAACCCCAAACCAGTAAAACCCTCTCATTCCCCCTCTCTTTGATCACCGACTCTGAGAGTCAGAGACCAGTGACAGCCCCATTGTCCATTGGTGGATCCGATGACCGCAAACCATGTCCGCCTCGATGCTCATGGAGCGTCCGAGACAGTTCTCCAAGCTTCTCTGCAGGCTCATTCTGACCCGACCCATGGGCGGCGGGCCTCGGACTTTCCCGGGCGGCGTCAGCAAGTGGAAATGGAAGCGCATGCACGAAAAGCGAGCCAAAGAGAAAGAGAAACGCCTTTTGGACCAAGAGAAACAGTTATTCGAGCACTGGAACTGGGCACAACCCGATGAACCCGAACCAGCACCTGAAGGCACTTGCCGATCGGTTCATGAAGGAAGGCGCAGAAGATTTGTGGAACGAAAAGGACAGGCCGATTGTTGAACCGCCCCAGTCGGTTCGACCGGACGGAACGACGAGATCGATTGCGGCGCCGCCGCTGGACTTGAGGAAGCTGATATCGAAAGGTCGTGATTTAGCGAGAAACAGGGACAGTGTAAATTTGAGTAATTTGGGTGGCAATTATATTGGGAGTTGGAACCACTGGGCGTAAAGTCGAGGGCGATTTCGGAGAAATGATAGTTCTTCCGACGACTCGGATTTTGATTCAGACAGTGAGTCCGTATAGCCGTTTTCGAATGAGAATTCGAAATTTGGGAGAAATGTGATGAGATTTGGGAATAGTGCTTCATTGGGAAAGTATGGTATGAAGATCATTAAGAGGAGAGTGCCCCTTAATTCACTGGATGACGAAAATGACTGCCTACATATCTCTGGGAAGGCGAATAAAATCACTCGTGCAGTTATTTAGAAAGATGATACTACGTAAGTTTTAAATTGAGGATCATCTAGGACGAATATGTTGGGGGTGTTAAAGAGATTAGTTCTCCATAATGGACTTGTCATCGAAGTTCCATCCATGTGCTGCAAATTGTAGGTTCATTTCCTTCCTACTCCGACGACTTTGTCTAATCCTTCCCAGTTTGTTCTGAGCTTGCCTTCTCTGGGTACTTTGTGTTCTTGAAGACTTCTCTTAAGACCACTTCTCCAACTTAAAGACTTCGAGGTTCAACGCCTTTGTTGTATTACAACCGAATATGCTATTGATGGGCGGCAAGCCCGACTTGGGCGCATTCTTTGCGTTTCTCGGCAAAGTCTCCAATGTGGTTTGTTCGTCAGTATAAAAGTTAGGCATCGTTATAACTTGGACTGGGAATTATGGCTTTTGTCCCATAGGCCATGGAGAATGGGGTTTCCCCAGTTGCTTATCCAACAGTTGTGCGATAGTGCCTATAGAAATCCAGGCGACTCATATCTCCGCTTGCTTTTCTTTACAAGTCCTTTCTTTAAGCATTGCAGGATAGTCTTGTTTGAGGCCTCTACTTGCATGTTGGCTCTGTTTGCTGTTTTGGTGAGGCATTCTCTCTACTTTTTCCGTTACAACCTTCATTGCCTCCAGTGACAACTGCAATCCTGTTAAGAAAGAATGTTAATTAAATTGTGATCACTAATTAATTAGCGCCGCTACTGATCCTTCGTGGACCGTAGCGCTTTATGAGAGGATGCGGATCGATAAAACAAAAGATTGATGTGCCTCTTGGACTCAAAACTGATGATTATGATGATTAGAGGGACTACTCCGTAGTGCTTCATCTCTTTGTTCTAAGGCTATTTATAGTTTAATTATTTAGCTACTG